TCAGAACACCCATGTAGATCAAGAAAGGCAGACAAACGTCAACTCTTAGTGACCTAAAGACCGAACCAAGTGGATAAGCCAGGAAGCTAGCATTTTATGAAGGAAACATGTTAACCCTCATGACAGGGTTCAAGCCACTAAATCTAAACCTAAACTTTTTCATTTTAGATAGAATCAAAACTCTTATAATTTTTTAATTTAACATCTGTGTCCTATTCAAGATATTTTCTTTCATGTCCTGCCCTTTAGACAAAGCAAAAAAGAGAGGGTAAATCTCTACATAGTAATTGTTCTCCTAGACAGTTGTTAAACGAAGGATTTTTCCTCATTTCCTGTGATGGTGACAACTCAAAATTTGGATTAGCTCATTACTTTTAGTTACGTTGACAATAGTCACCAGGACAAATGGAGGATGATTCTCCCCAGAGGAGACACAGACAGACAAAAAAAAAGGACAGGGGTTCTAATTCCTCACTAATATTTCCAAAATTTTTAAAAGTGCCTTAAGATATACATAATTAATACTTTCACCAAAATTATCTTCCAAAAATTTTAGCACCAAAGGACAAAGCACCAATTTTTGTGTTGGAACCTTGTGAACCAGCCCAGGGTCTCCATGCTTGGACCCATTGCTTGGATCAGCTGTTTACAATGGGTTAAAGATGTGCATCATCAGGTGGGAAAACTACCAAAAGCAAAGATGGCCATGATAAGAAAACGGCAAAGCAGTGTAGAGCCATCCAGCAGCCTAGAAGCCTTCTTATTTTTAACACATTACAAACAGGTAATTTTGAAAAGAAAGTCCATATGAGAGGACCCATTTTTGCCTGCATTGGCCAATGCACAAGTGTTTTTCCAATATCTTGCTGAAAATTGAAAACTTTTTTATGAATACCATTCATCTCACAAACACATACAGATGAGAAATACCAGTTTTTAATGAAATACAAAATCGTATACATACCTTCCAATGCATGGCAGGGATAATTCAAGCTCCACCTACCTGCCCACCAAAATCACATTCTCTAATATTTGGGGGTAAAGATTGTTTTTTATTTACGTTTTGGACAAAGCAAGGAACATTTTCAACTCCTGTCAGGTTTTTATTGCTGACCTTGCTGGGGGATTCTCCTTCTTGGTTTGTGTTGGTAACCATCATCATTGTGATCGAAAGTGATGGGAAATCCAAAATTTTGCAGGATGTAAGGTGACATCTTTTCAATGGAGACATTTGATCTGGTGACAATTTGTCAGAAGTCATTTCTCCTTTACTTTGGAGGGATTTATGTTGTGACAGAAGGGAAATCTACCCAATGGGACACAAAAGCATAAATTGGTTCCAACCAGGGGTGGAGTGACCATTTGGAAACTCGGGCACTGCCCGAGGGCCCGGGGTCAGTAGGGGGCCCCATGAGATGCCCCTGGTACCGTTTTCATAGGCTTTTTTGAGTTTGGGCAAGGACACAGGGGCCCCAGGATCCCCTATTGCCCGGGGGCCCCATGAGTTGTCAGTCCGCCCCTGGTTCCAACCATTACAAACTCTATTCAAAACAAAAAAAGTTGTGGCTGTAAACAATGTCACAATTTTCTGTCCCTCTGACTTCACAAGTTCTACACATTTGGTAGCAAAAATTCGAATATATCTAGCAAAAAAAACAAACAAACATAGTATAGAATAATTTCCATACTTGATGATGTGAAAACCATCCAATCATTTTAAAAATGTCAGTAGTTCTACAGAACTATGTACAAAGTAAATTAGCTTAAAATACTGCATATGATTTCCGTTACCCACTAAACCCTGAATGTTTTTCTCAATCCAACTGAATATTTCTTTTAAGTCTGGCTTAGTTGCATCTTGAAACTAAAGTTAGTTAACCCTCAACAGCTTTCCAATTCCATGCTGCAGCTGTTTGTTCTCTTTTCTATGCTATTTTGTGTTTTGATATCTCAGCTGCTTCTCAACTAGGAAAGCATCTAAACACAAAAAGTGTTCTGTCAAGTTTTACATGGAATTAACTGTTCAAGGGTGACTTCCAATTGTTTTCAGAAAACATCTGAAAGCTAGAGAAATCTACAGTTGATTGGAATAACTGCTTAAAATAGGACTAAACCCTCCTGTCTTTTACAGCCAAGGAAGCAGCCATTTTAAGCTGGCCATAGATGGTTAAAATTTTAGACGGTTCAGCAGGGATCCGCTAAGTTTTTATCCATTTATGGGCATGCTGATTGTACCCAAGTCGATCCATTGATTGACTTGGGTACCACCAGCATGTCGGATTTCTAGCATATAATTAATGCCTGCCAGGAGAACACAATAACTCCACAGGAGGGATTCCCCCATAAACACTGAGTCATTGTTGAGGTCTTAGCCTGTGTTTAATCTGCAGTTTGGATAGTGCAGCACCTCTAGTCAGTCATGACTTATGTCATTTGGCTTGACATTTTGGTTGAGAACACAAGAAACTCTGACAGTTATCATTCACTGCATGCCTTGAATGTAACTGGGAAACAGTTAAATCAATGGGTTTAGTTCCACTTTAACTTTCTAGGCATGTCTAGAACTGTTGGGGAGAAGGGACAAACTTCCCAGCTCCACATTTTAGAGATTCTGGTTAGATGAAACTGGCATTTAAATGTGAACTCCGTGCACATATTCAAACCTACATATCCTCACTGTATCTGGAGTGGTGTGTTTAAATGCAATGTGTGTAATGCAAAGTAATCAACCTGCCTTATGTTGCTCCTACAATCTGTAACCCTGGTCCTTCTCTGGGAACAAGTCTCAGATGCTATCTCCATAGCAGTTAGACCAGTCACCCTTCTGCCTCTTTGGTAGTCTGCATATTTACCGCAGTAACAATGGGAAAGGACATTCTCAGCTTTGCTTGAATGCAGCTTTCCAACACTTAATACTGCCTCTTGGTGCATGTTTCTTGAGTGAGGTTTAAATTTATAATGTCGCCTCTGTGCCTACTAGGAAGTGTAGTTCACTGGCAGCTTGCAGACACCAAGGGGTCACTCTGCAAGACCAATTTTAGGCCTCCACATTCAACTGCTGGCCAAGTAAAAATTTGTATCTAATGACAACTAGATATAATTGAGCAGTGTCCATGTCTACATGACAGTGGAGGTCCTAGCACCCATCTGACTAGCATCAAGTAAAAATGGACCTCTAAATCCAAGAGGCTTCTTATGTAGCTACACAATCTGCACAAATTCTATGTCTCCTGGAGTTGTAGTACCAACAGCATTACACTTGACTAAGCAGGCATCATTTACAGATAACATGTCACAAAAGAGCATGGAAGTACAAAATAAAGTATCTAAAAAGGTCACATAAAAATTATTAAAAATAAAAAAAGAGTTGTGGTTATTATTATTGTGGCAAGTGTGATGGATATTAAATTAAGAAGCCACTACCCAGTAGGCCTATTGTTTTAGGATGCTAGATGATTAAGGGTCCACTACTCCTCATTAGGAGCATCACCATCTGCTGTTGAGTATCAGATTGCAGCCCACATGAACATTAAAGCCAAACTGTTTCAGTTTTAGGTAGCAAAGGGAATTGGCTGGAACCTCAGTCAGGTTACATGGGTTGTTTTGTGTCCCTCACTGGGGGAATTTTCTGTCCTTTTCTGACAGCCATCAAATAGGCAGAAAGTAAGGGTAATCTCACCAATGGGGACAAACATTGGGTTGTAATAAGTGCAGTTTACGCTATATAGAAAGTGATGGGAAATCAAATATTTTGTGTGATGGGACATATTTTTAATGGAGAGATGCATTCTGTGCCAATTGTCAGAGGCCATTTCCCTTTTACTTTGGAGGGATTTATGTTATGACAGGAAGTAAATGGAGATCTACCCAATGGGACAAAAAAACATGAACTAGTTCCAACCATTCCATACTCTATGTAAAACAAAAAAAGTTGTAGCTTTAAACTTTAAACAAAATGTTACAATTTTCTGTAGATTTCCATCTGATTTCACAAGTTCTATACATTTGGAAGCACATATTCGAATACATCTAGCAAAATAAAAAAAACACAGTTTGTGTCAGGCTTTATAGGCTGTTTGTGTCCCTCACTGGAGAGATTTTCTTTTCATTTCTGACAGCTGTCAAACAGGCAGAATGTGAAGGGTAATCTCTTCAATGGGGACAAAGACAGCAAAAACTGTCTGGTGGAGGTTTGAACCCTTCCCTATGCTATCCAAATCTAAAGTAAAAGTATTGGCTAGAGTTGGGTTTTAATAAGTGCATGCATGTCTACACTATGTGGATGAACTTCAGTTGATCAAGTAAACAAGGGATTATTTAAATTGAAAAACAGCTACTGGAGGCAGAGACTTCTACAGGGGAGAGCTACAATTACTCAAAAAGTGTGGAGATGCTGCCAACTTCATAACTAATTATCTTCAGTGAAAATCTGCCATATCCATTTACACTTGTAGTGCACAGTACCAGAAAGAACCCAGAAAGCAGTTCTGTTTATATCTAAATAGTAACGTATTCAACATAAAACATCACCATCGAAAAACTTACATTAGAAACTTTTTATCAAACATTATTTTCATAAACATATAAATTTAGTTACATCATTTCATCTTTTTAAAAAATCCTATTAAGTGACAATATACATGCACCTCCTAATATCAAAAGCTGAGTTTGCTGAGTTTCGAGGTATGAGAAGTATATTCATACTTCTGAAAGTATCAAGGACTTTAAGTTTATTTTTCCTTTAGAAAAATAAGGAGCAAAAAATTTAGTCCTTTGGAAAAAAAATTAGGTTTACTGTACTAAAAAATAGCACATTTTGTAACTTTTTTTTGTCTTTTATCATTAAATGGCAGTAAGCAGATTTCAGATGGACACGGCGTGCAATGATTCGATAGAAATAGCTCCTTCCAAATATACATATATTCTGCAGTGGCTTAAATATTTTACCTGGGATATTATTCACATGTGCAAAATTAAAAGACATTTCAGCTGTACGATGTTCATATTCGCGGAAGAAAATGCGTGACGGTCATTGCGGGTGAAATTTTCGTTCCTCTTTTAATTTTCCCATGCTTGCTTAATCCAAGGTAAGCACCTTTGTATTGCTGAGATTCATAGGCATTATAATTGTTTGATAGCAGAATTTCCTTAAACTTGCACTCATCCTGAAACGTTGCCTAAAACAGAAAGAAAAGGGTGCTAAGTATACAATATATCACTGAAACATCCCTGGAGTTAAGGAATTTTATATTTCTGTGCAGATATTTGCTTGTTAGATGACAGAAATTTTTGACCTATTGCACCACAAAATGTGTGTTATTTTTCTGCTTGTGATTCTATGTAGATTTTTGTCCAAAAGATGGAGTTACATTGAAAGAAGATAAATAAAATTTGTAAAATTTGTTTTGTGACAGCTACAGGTACAAATGGGTAACCGATGAGATTCCAGTTTCTTTGCGGAGGTTAGAAAGTAAAGCCAAGTATTCGGCAAAATGCCAGTGAAATAAAACGGCTTCATTCCTTTTTTGTCTTGCTCACCCTTAAGATTTATTGTGAAGATGTACAAGCATGAAAAGATAAAAAGACATCAAAGAAGAAATGTGATGCGTTTCACACAAAGTGCTTAACTATAATCATCATTGATTGACAAGCACAACATATCAACCTGCTTTTTCATTTCCTCTTGTTTGAGGCCCTTGGTTTCAATAAAAAGCAAACTCTTTATGCAGGCAGCTTTAAAAAATTTTTTAATAAATATACTGTATATATTTGTATGAACATTTGAGCAGCCATATTGTAAAATTGCATCGCAATAGCACCTTGTGATGTCATTAAGGTATCTAACAGAGATAAAACGACATGTGGGTCAGTTTTTTTTTTTTACTGCACAGCCGCATAACGTATCTCTGAACCATGTTCATCTCTGTGTCAGATTGCAAATGGCTAACTTGGCAAGTCTACTTTCTTCCACTTTAAATAAGCCGTTTAGCATCTTTACTAAGTGCACAGAGAGTATGGGAACAAGATGTACTTAGCAGAAGAACATGCATGATCCTGTGGTCACCACTACTGAAAAGATTAGTAAGATGTGTTCTTATTTATACACTGAGCTACAAAAGGAAAGGCTTTCTAGGCATACAACTACTGTCTAGTCTCACTGTTCCCACTGTAAAAACTTAAAAGAATAGATACTTGCATTCAAGCAATATGTAATGTTGCTATTACACCAGCCATGGGCAACCTATGGAACTCTTTTCATGGGTGGAATTTCCCAGTGTGCTTTGTTAGCTTCTGGAGACAGGAATTTAGCAACAGGGATAGCAAAGATAGCATCAGTCACTGGGCTCACTTATGAATTTGTTATAATGCGTACGGTATTTGTGTGTACATTACATGCTATTAATAAAGTTGTTGTAAGGCCTTGTTTTCTATTATAGGGCTTAAAATACTTAGCTATGCCCAGGACTAGGCAATCTGGGACTTGTGGTTCGTCACAGCTGAAGGCCTATAGGTTGTCTAATTTATAAAGTACATGCACACCCCCTCACCTTGTAAAACAACCCTTTCAATTTAAAATAGAAATGTAAAGCAAAGAGTTTGTGTATATATATATAGATATATATAGATATACAGTGCCTTGAAAAAGTATTCATACCCCTTGAAATTTTCTAAATTTTGTCATGTTACAGTCAAAAACGTAAATGTATTTTATTGGGATTTTATGTGATAGACCAACACAAAGTGGCACATAATTGTAAAGTGGAAGGAAAATGATAAATGATTTTCAATATTTCTTGCAAATAATTATCTGTAAAGTGTGGCGTGCATTTTTGTTTTTAGCCTCCTTTATTCTGATACCCCTAACTAAAATCTAGTGGAACCAATTGCCTTCAAAAGTCACCTAATTAGTAAATAGAGTCCACCTGTTTGTAATTTAATCTCAGTATAAATACAGATGTTCTGTGAAGCCCTCAGAGGTTTGTTAGAGAACATTAGTGAACAAACAGCATCATGAAGGCCAAGGAACATACCACATAGGTTGGAGATAAAGTTGTGGAGAAGTTTAAAGCAGGGTTAGGTTATCAAAAAATATCCCAAGCTTTGAACATCTCAGAGAGCACTGTTCTGAAAATGGAAAGAGTATGGCACAACTGCAAACCTACCAAGACATGGCCGTCCACCTAAACTGACAGGTCGGGCAAGGTTAGTGTTACTCAGAGAAGCAGCCAAGAGGCACATGGTAACTCTGGAGGAGCTGCAGAGATCCACAGCTCATGTGGGAGAATCTATCCACAGGACAACTATTAGTAGTCGTGCACTTTACAAATCTGGCCTTTCTGGAAGAGTTGCAAGATCAAAGCCATTGCTGAAAGAAAGCCATAAGAAGTTCTGTTTGCAGTTTGCGAGAAACCATGTGGGGGACACAGCCAACATGTGGAAGAAGGTGCTCTGGTCAGATGAGACCAAAATTTAACTTTGTGGCCTAAAAGCAAAATGCTATATGTGGTGGAAAACTAACATTGCACATCACCCTGAACACACCATCCCCACCTTGAAACATGGTGGTGGCAGCATCATGTTGTGGGGATGCTTTTCTTCAGCAGGAACAGGGAAGCTAGTCAGAGTTGATGAGAAAATGGATGGAGCTAAATACAGCGCAATCTTAGAAGAAAACCTGTTAGAGTCTGCAAAAGACTTGATACTGGGGCGGAGGTCCACTTGCCAGCAAGACAAAAACCCCAAACATACAGCCAGAGCTACAATGGAATGGTTTAGATCAAAGCATATTCTTGTGTTTGAAGGGCCCAGTCAAAGTCCAGACCTAAATCCAATCGAGAATCTGTGGCAAGACTTGAAAATTGCTGTTCACAGACGCTCTCCATCTAACCAGACAGAGCTTGAGCTATTTTGCAAAGAGGAATATTCAAAAATTTCACTCTCTAGATGTGCAAAGCTGATAGAGAAATACCCAAAAAAAAGACTTGCAGCTGTAATGGCAGCGAAAGATGGTTTTACAAAGTATTGGCTCAGGGGGGCTGAATACAAATGCATGCCACACTTTTCCTTGTTAAATTTTTTTATTAGTTTTGTTAGAAAACAACAAACGTTAGGACAGACAAACAGGAGAAGCAGGCCATTTTGATGCCATACGTGTAGAAAACATACAACATGTATAAATGTTAATGCAAAACAAGGACCTAAAGAGATCATTAACGGTCCAGAATGCAACTGGACCATATGTTCGGTACAAAAAAGGTAGATTGGACATTTAAAAATATAACTGACATAGAAAACCAAGTAGCATCACTAAGGTAGACTATGGCTGTGGGTGCGACGAGATGAATAAGGCAAGGATCATTCAAGTGTTCCAAGCCATAGTCCAACTAGAGCTAACTAGAAAATACGGCCTAGGGAGAACAGATAAATAAGAAGAGAGTGTAGAAGAAAGGAAAGAGCAGGGTAGCAGAGGTGCCCAGCGGAGCCAACTATCTAGTCTCAGACAAAACAAGATATATGAGAAAAGGAGATATAGGAAAGAAGAGGAAGAGAGGAGAAAAGATAGTCCCTGAGGGTGGCGCAATCAAAGATCAGATATGTGCATAAAGTGCAGTGCTAAAAAATTATATTGCATCAAAATAGGTTATAAAACAATAAGTGTATACACATTAGTGCAAAACAAATACAAACATATAACATATAAGCCGGAGAAATGACAAATAAATATAGTCCATCCAGTGTGAAAACTGTGTATCAATGATACTGCAAGACACAACAGCAAAGTGTCCAATTCCACACAGTGTTTTAGGATCTGTGAACACTCCGCCACCACTATGTACTCACCAGAATGCTACCGGTATAGTAGCAGTAATCAACGGTCAATCAAATTCACTATTTGGAGTCCTTAGCCCAAAAGACTTCCTAGAGAAGAAGCTCAACACACGGAGCCCAGAAAATGATTCATAGTGTAGTATTTATTAAAAGGCAAAACATTAAAACATTCCATGTGGAAGAAATGTAAGCATGTATACAATCACATACCAAAATGGCCACCGTTCCAGAACATGGACACGGCGGCGTGACGTCAGCACGTAGGCTCCAACCAACGCGTTCGTGTACATGCATGTCCTCAGGGGTACTCCCATTGCCGACGTCAGAAGCAGACACCATTTAAATAGCCTGCAAGGCGTGCATACAATTATTGGGCACCATTTTCTCGTGGTCCATAACATTGGACATTGACAGTTTACATACAAATTAAACCGCAATGAATGCGCCATCTTCCCAAGGTCCAAATCATTAGACATACACTGCTTACATTGAAACTGAACAGCAGTGAAAGGAAAGGTGCAAAAGGAAATAAAAGTCAATCTTTAAAGGCCGTAGATGCATCGGAACAAATAAATCAAATAACTGTAAACTACTCAAGCATTAATATGTGGGAATCAATGAGGATATAATTATGGAACACTTGAGTGATAACGGATGGCATTTTCTTGAGGTCCAGAAAATAAAACAATACAACATAATGATGATGTAAACATTAATGATAATGTGTACAAACATCAATGAATATCTAAGTAATAATTAAAATATCCATGTAGTTACATGGAAGTAAATATCAAATTAAAAAGCAGGCCATTTAAATTTATGAAATTTACATGCACTAGTACCATCAATAAGGTATATAAATTTCATAAGCATTCTATACTTAGTCTCAGCCAAAATCAAAGAGGGTGATTTTTACGCCTTAGCTATGGTCTGTTTAGTGGCTGTTAGAAGCTAGATGAAAAGTCTCAATTGTCTGTCCATCAAAGGCGCTGGTTTCAAATTGAGAACAGCAGTGGTACGGTCTGGTGGGAAGGCTACTTTAAAGAGGCTAGTTCAAAAATTTCCTTTCAAAATGATTGAGCCACCAGACATTCCAACTAAATGTGCAACTGTGTGCACAGGTCCGAACAGCCACGGGAACAGAAAGCCGAGCTAGTTGGTGTAAATTTAGCGATTCTAGTGGGCACTAGATACCATCCTTCCAAGACTTTGTAACTAGCTTCCATCACAACAATGTTGGGCGAAGAGGACTTGGTAGCTTGCCAAATCTCCAACCATTCAGCTGTATCCAATGGGCGGCCCAAATCCTTTTCCCACTTTGCAGCATAGGATGGGGTACCTTGGTTAG